TGTACTGGCCAGCCCTACTAACTAGTGTAGAAATAGGTGGGACTATGGAAATACAATTTTGCTCCATTTATGGACTATAGGGACTGTTTCCTGGTTCCTGTGTGGGGGTGGCTGCCAGTACTATACCTAAACTCCTGGTGGCCCCAGGTGAACTTTTAGTTATCAGGCGCCCCCTTCACTAGAGATAATGATAATAATAATTGGACAATGGAAAAAAATTACCATTTTTGGGCCCCAGGCAGCTGCCCAGTTCGCCCATGCCTGTGTCCGGCTCTGACACCTGCAGGCTAGATACACAGTGGCTATGTCTAGCCTCAACATCAGGGGCATGGGAAGGCTTATCACTCACCCCTTAGGCTAGTATCCAGCCTCAGTGAAGCTGACCAAAACATCTGTATTAATTTTAATGAAGTTGGCTGGGACCTGGCGGGTGTCACAAATCAGCTGAATTTCTCCATGTGGTTTGTTTTATCTGGAAATTTGAGATTCATGTGCTACAGTGAGGTCAACTTTGCCTTAAGTGAGGAGATCAGGATTTGGCTCAAATGCTGTTTATACAGTACAATAGTAGAGGAGTGTCCCAGGAGGCTGTAATGAAAAGGTGCTAGGAAACAGTTCTGCTGGTAAATATTTAATTTCTTTGTACACACATATATGTATAGACAAAAAGCAGCTGAGACAATTAAAAAGCATGGTTTCACTAACCTACGCCCATCTCAGGGGAACTCAGCCCACTTTCTCTCTCAAAGAGTGTGCTTCTTGAACATCCTCCAGTTAATCTGGCATGGTGCCTTTTGCATATTTTTTGCTGCAGGTCACTTCTAAAATCATAGTAAATTAAACAGTCGGTAAGGCCTAAATAAACTCTTGTACATACAGTACAGCTTCATTATAACCAACACTTATGAGACAGGGAAAAAAACTCATTCAAAGAAGGTGTACTCTACATAACAGGGTTAGTCAGTGTGCTGCATCAGCATAATGAAAAAACTGGTTCATAACTGTAGGAGTTGTGAAAAGCAGGGGGCTGTTATAAACAGGGTATATTACAATGAGGATTTATTGTGCTTCCAATTAGGCATTGCAATACTTAGAATTAAGTCAATGTCAAGACAGGTGATCCATTACTACATTACATGGAAGTCTCATAGATGGGTTATAAGAAAGCATGCAGTATGTTTTGTAAATATTACAATGCCCTATGTGAATGTGAATATGCTGTGCTTCCCACAGAAGCAGCAATCATATTTTTACAGCTACAAGTTCTGTATAGGCTTATTTGATGAAGGATGGTTAGCTGCTGTTTTGCTGTTCTCTCAAGGCAAACATTAGCACAATAATTGACACATCATTTACTAGCTCTCTTTTACTGTCTGTACTCTTTTAGCCTTCAGGAATGAAATCAGGCCCTACCATACCATAGAAGTTTGAGCCTTGTCTTTTGTACTCTAATTTTTCTCTCCTTTCTATATACTCTGCATTCTGCACATCCATTCACAGCATCCGATGAAGTGAGCTTCAGTTCACAAAAGCTTGTACTATATATAAATTAAAGCATATCTGTTTGTCTGTCTGTCTGTCTGTCTATCTCTACTTTGATTAGTCTATAAGGTGCAAATCTACCCTGCCTTCTACCTGTCCAGCAGCCAAAAAAGCAGGATTTGATGGCTATTCTAAAATTCAGAGTCAGCTGAATCAGCTGGACCAGAGTATTTGAGGAATAAAATAGTTTGCATTTTCTCCTGAAGATCAAGGAAATCTTAAACTATCACACCAGGAACAAACACTTCTAAGAATCCAGGCTCCTGCCTTGGCAGTAAAATGTTCTCTTCTGCTGACTCCTGGAGAGGCCCCACAACTTTAAAAGGAATTGTGAGAGAGACAGTAAAAATGCAACTAGTTTTAAAACTGCAGTTACTAAATGAGCATAAAATAAACTGGGCTGGAGGTTATAGCCTCCAGAAGATGGGAACAGGTTTCATTACTTTGAATTGATTCCCTCTGGCAGACACCCAGACTGGAGTTGACAGGCTCCGGAACAAGTTGTGTCTAGCTCTCTTTGGCTGGAGGGAGGATTGCTGAGAAATGGTGCTTTTGAAAGATGGCTGCCGTATAAGAAAACAGTATTAGATTTTACTGATTGTGAACATCCCTTTTAGAAAGGTTACTTGATTTAATAAGCAACATGGGTTATGAGTTATAAAGAGGCTCCTCTGCTCCTAGGTAGAGGAAATAAATATTCAGTTATCAAAAATTGAATGTTTTACGTGAAATGCAGCTTGAAGTAAATCTTAATAATCACAAGCCTTTTAAAAATTATTAGTGATTTAATGGACTTTGATTTCAAGAGACTAAAATATCCAGATGGTATATTATTACACATAAATTAGGATAAACTTGTGTACTCCCCTCCTTCCATTAACAGGAATGATTATTTATTTTTTACATAGGCTCTGCCTGAACTTCCAGTTAAATCAATGGGAGTTATATTGGGCCCTATTTCCATCGACAAACAGGACACTTTATAGGTATATTCATGACAACGCCCATGCTTCAGAAATTTAGTTTAAATTAGATAAATCCGTGAACAGCAGCTGACCATGCTAAGTAAGAAAGTGGCCAGGTTCAACAGTGAAGAACAGGAGGATCTACAACAGATTGCCCATGTCCTTTTGCTTGATACTTGCGACGTCCTGCTTTGTTTAGCACATCTATTCATTTTTTAATTCAATATAATCAGGTACAGATCAGGCCAGAATGGAGATTAACTGTGAAAACCTAGTCAGAAGCAGCAAGCCTTGAGGAGATTTAAAGATAGAGACAGATTAAGGTCTGCTGGCTCCACACGGTGCAGTGAAAGGTCACCTTTACAGAGAAGGAACAACAGCTGATGGACTGAAACAGCTAACAAGGCAAGAAACAGCATTTTGCTTTCCCTCTCTAAGAGCTTGTCTAGACATAGCTTTTGCACTGAGATAATGAATTAACTGATGAGGGATGTGATTTGTTTTCAATCCATACAATTCATCCAGTAGAATCCCTTGGTGGAGTTAGTACAGCTACACCAGTGAAAGGGGCTTTGCTGCTGTTCCCACAGGGGAATAAACGATGCCAGAGCAGGGCATGGGTGTTCCCACGTGGCTCTGCCGGACTGTACTGCAGCTAGTGCAGCTGAAGCCCCACAACGTGTATGCACGTGGGATCTGGCTTGGGTGTGTATGCGTGCAAGAGAATGATAC